TCAACACTGTGGAAGGGTAGGGAGGGCTGCTTTAGTGTGTGTGCCCCTCCCCCCCCAGCTTCTAGCCTGAGCCACTGAAGGCATATGCCTACATTTCTGGGATGTCTGTACAGTTACAAACTGATTCAGCCTAGCCAAGTTAGACTAACCTGCAAAAATTGAATCAGTTCTGGCTCAGGCTTTCTGAATGTCTGTCCCCAGCCCACAGAATGGCAATACGTTATGTATGTGTTGCATAGTATAAGATAGTATCAGATTCTCAAATTATAGTGCAAATAGAATTCCTTCTTTAGTATCTAAACTGTAATCTAATTAACTATTTTTTTTAACAAAGCCAGCTTCTAAAAATCAGTAATTAGGAGTGGTTCCTAACTTTAAAGATATTTCACAATTATCATGTTTCCTAGTTTTAAGTTAGAGACTAAATTAATTATTAGTGGGTCTTCAAAATGTGTAGTGCATAACAGACTGAGGGGTCTCTGGGGATGTCCATCTCTGACATTGTAGGAAATGTCTCAAGCCACTCTTTCTGATTCTTCAGCAGAAATGTTTCATGGATGCTATGTCCCCTTGTTTCACTTCCAAAAAAAAAAAAAAGGCAACTCTTAATTTTCATTTGACTAAAAATATACCACATTTTTTAAAAGGTATTATATATGTTCAAATGATGATAGTGCTGTTCAAGCCCATGGATGTTAACATTTAAGACTGAAACTCATTCTATGTTTCACATAGTATTGCTTTGTGTAGTAAGTCTACAGTATTGCAAGATTACCATTGTTTGGCAAGACCTGCAAACTACAAAGTGGTAAGCTGATTATGGAGTTTAAGCTTTACATTCAAGTGTCCTGCCTTTTGCAGTGTTTTCATCTTTTCACCATTATTTAATAGTAATATTTTATTATTCAATTTTCTGCCTTTTCCCTTCATCTTCCTTCCTATTAAAAATAATAATATGGAATTAAAATAAAATATTATACAGTTCACTCATTTATACAGGTACTCCTGATCTTACATGTAAATATTTAACCTTATTTTTAAGGTAATATATAGGGCAAGATTGTGATATTTAGATACCCCTCAATATTAAGTGAGCCTTAAAATCTCTCTCTGTTGGAAATTTTGCACAGGGGTCTACCCCCTTTATACTGTAGCTCAGCCAGCTCTGTGCTGCATGCCAGTCCTGCTCTGTACCTCAAAAAGTGTGAAACATATAGCAAGTCATGGCTTTGCCCTTCTCCCTGTTGACTTTAGGTTGTTACATAGCTTAGGAGCAAACTGAAATTCTTTGAGAGCCATACAGAGAAAAAGGGTCTGCTGTGATCTTCCAAAATAGCACACATTTAAATATGGGTGAGGCAGAATTTTTTTTAATTTACATTCTCAGACACCATGTTCTAGAAGCACAAAGCATTTCTTAAATCCTTTAAACCTTTAAACATTGTCTTCCCCATGCTCATAATTACAAAAAAGTATATACAATTGGAGACCAAAAAGAAAATCAATTTTAACCTGGATTGGACATTTTTAGTTAAGTTTTCACTTGTTGCAGAGTTTTATAAGGTCTTAAAAATAGTATGCAATAGATATTCTGACTGGTCCTTTACTATAGCCTTGCTAGAGGGCCTTCTATAATTACTGGAGAGCTTCAATAATGGTATGAATGTTTCAGACTGGAAATTTGAAAATCCTTAATGTGAATTCATCTTATAATTTCTAATCACTTTATACTTCTCATTCCCAGAAGCCTAATAACTTCTAAATTCAAGCGCTTGCCTAATGCAAAACACTTGCTAAATTTTTTAAATTATTCTGCACTGCATAGTAATTCAGAATTATTGAATTACTTCCTACTTTCTTTAATAAGCAATTCTGCATAAAAGTGTATTGCATAGAATTCTTGTAATACAGTCCAACATACATAGATAAAACATTTTTCCCATTAATATAGGATTTAAAAAGCCCTCCTTTTTTGTTTGAAAATATTGTTTCATAATTGGAATGAGGAGGAAGTAAGTATAGTTCACACACTACAATGTATGCACTGGTTATATTTGGGGATAGAGGGATTGTATATCTAGCTAAATTGTATCTTGTTATATATCATTTAGATTTTTTTTTCAGCTGTGTTATTTAGTGCACGAAGTGGCCATTTTTTCATGTTGCACTTTAATGGTATGTGACCTGCAGAATAATTAGTGTTAGAGAGGAACAGGCAAATGACTGCAACTTACACACAGCATAGAACCCAGTTCTGGCCTGTCACTCTTGGTGGTACAGGATGAGGCTTATTTATTATTTTTAGATAGAAAAATATTTGACAAAAATAGAGGCTGTGTATATAAGAAATCCTATTTCTCTGACCTTATTTGTATTAGTTTAAAACATAATTTGCTGTTCTAGTAAATTTAAAAAATGCTGGTAATGTAATTAACCAGAGAAACAGTGCCTTGGCCATAGATGTAACACACTTTGGTATGTAAAGTAATTTCTGCTCAGAATTTAGAATCATAGAAAAATCACTGGAATATTTTGTCATTGGTGTACGTATTTAGAAGAAAATGTGTATGCCCATATTTCTTGATTACAAAACCATTGTTTGTCTTTGATTATTCTTACCATGTATTTTTAACAAGTTTTTGTTCAAATAATGAAAGCTCCAATTTTAGGGAATGAGAGTCAGTAGCCAGCTGCAGATATCATCCATAAGCTGTCACCCCTCCTTTTTTTCTTTGCTGCCCATATTTTTCCTGCTTTAGGACATTGAATGTTAATACTTAATAAAGAATTGCATATAGTCTAGCAGTGTATATAACCTTTGCTATTAAAAATAGGGCATTTCTTAGTGTTAAACTGTACAAGCTTTCAGGTGAATGCAGTAGTTAAAATTGCAGAACTCTATGTTAGGCAGCTGTTAAATCCTATTTTTGTGTTGATTAATTACTGCTAGACTATCAGAAAATCAGATATGCACTTTATTAACATCAATTGCCCAAAACATCACATGCTAGAAATATATAATAATTGAGGCTAATAATCAGGCAGATATAACCCTCCTCAGCCTCAACTGCGATGTGGCTATAAATTGTATTTGGTTCTTTAAATATATATCTGGCCAGTACTTTTAGTATTAAATTACAGTGCAGACCAGAGTTTTAAGTTACAATGGACTGTTCAGCTTCATGGTAGTAGTACAGATACAATTGTAACTAGAATGATAAAAATTAATCTGTTATAGTCTAGAAACAAACTCTTCCTGTGTAATTCCATTAAAACCCAGGCGATTGCACTGATGTAACCTAATAGAATGAGCTCTAAGTGAAATCCACAATTTATTTTTCTAAATAATGCTAGTCTGTGAGAAACAAAGGTGGAGTGAAAGATATGGAAGACTCCTTTTTAACTGCCCTTCTTTTCATTACAATATCTCCTGGTTTTACTAGCACTACATAATTCAGCAGATACCCATTATTTTTTAGAGAGAATTGACCATGCTAGTGTGTGATAAGACATCTTTTGATAAAACTGCATCTTATGCTTAGGGATATATTCTTTTTTCTAAATGTCAGCTACAAGTTGAAAATATCAAGTAGGTCTATGTATTTTTTAATATGTTTTGCTTCTGACTGCTTCACTTGTACACAAACTTTGAAAACACAAAACAAAGAACTCTACATTGCTCAAAATGTAAGACCAAGTATTCAGCATTGTATGTGTATGTACAATTCAGTATTTTGCCAGAACACAGGACTTTCTCTATTCACATACTGACTTGCGCACATGCATTCAGGATTTTGTTAGTGCAAAACTATGCACCCAGTTTTTGAAATGAGTTTTGGTTTTTTTTAGGTCTGAATTATTGTAAGTACCAGGACTACACATAATTTAAAGTTAGGTTGCTATATTTCCACCTAGATTTGCCTCAGTTATATGAAAGCATAATGCATATCATTGTACAGCATTTTAACTTAGAATACTATTGGTGTACTTTCAGATTTTCTAAGTTACTTATATATTACAAAGATGTTCAAAAACGTGTTTAAATGAGTATTGTATACTGTTATGAAAATTAATATCTGACATTCTCACTATATGAACAGAAAATTTTGTTAGGAATAATGTTTAAGAGAGTTATATGTGTGTATATATTTTTCAAGAGAAGTGCTTTTTGATAACCAATGTGTTCAATTAATGTTAAGTATATGTATATTATTTAGCAAAATCTTATCAATAAATATGACTCATAATTATTTTTGTGTTTATTTTGAACACAGGCTGGTGCTACATTATTAACCTTTACCCTAATTAAATAATGATCTTTTTACACTAATGATAAATATATTGTAGTAATTTGTTGTGATGGCATTAGTTGCATGTTTGTTTATAAGATTGATGTTTACATTTTTCACACGTGCCTCTTGATTAAAAAAATCAATGAATATTTTAACAGCTAATTTATTGCTGAAAATTCAGTAGCTTGAATTCAATTATTTTAAGATATGGATAACAAATTATTTTGGAATCAGCTTGTTGGATATACTCTATAAAAAGACTGGATGAAAAAATTGTATATCAAAGTAAATTTCACTACTTCTTCCAAACAGTAGCCCTATTTGTTTACAGAAACATTACTGTTTTCAGTGTGCTCATTGAACTTGCTGGAATTTGTGTTTACTTTAGTCTTTTTTTTCCCCAAGAAGAGGAGAGGGGAAAGAAAATATTCCTCATGTAGTCAGCATACCTTTTAGTATCTATGTGAGTTCACCATCTTGATTTCAAGTCATGAATTTGTTTTTACACACATATGCATGCATACTTACATGCATTACTTATTTACTCAATTGACTTTAAATTCCATTAAGTTCGAATGAGTAGGAGAAGGATTTTGGTCTTTTTTATTCTTTTAATTTTCTAGTTACATTACTTTTGTTTATTTATTTTTGACTGTTCAGTCTAAGGCTTGTAAAGGTTGATTTGCTCCTGAACTGCTTTGTTCCCAGACATTGCCATCTTCCCCAACTACCACCAAGTCCTCTCCATCTGATCCCATGACCACCTCCAGAGCCAATCAGGTACAGTATCATCCTACCATCTACACCATACTTTTCACGGGTGACAACATGCAGACTGGAGAAAAAGATATGGTGGGTTAAGGATTTATTCGTTCATTCACATGTATACACCCATAATCATAGATATCTAACACTGTTGCATAAGGAAAACTTTTCAAAATTTGGTAAACTGAATGGTAAAGTTTTCTCCATTGAGTATTTTTTTTGAATTTTTAAACATCTAATGACAGTAGAATATATTATAAATAATATTTATTTTATTTTTACCTTACTTTAATAAAAATGTATATATTTGTAGGTATGTATTCATGAATCTGTAATTGCAGTAAGTGTCTGTGTGTGTGTGTGTATATATATATATATGTGTGTGTGTGTGTGTGTACATATATAATCGCAAGATCCCTGTGTCATAGAATGGAATTAGCATCAATGCCATATTTAAATAGATAAATAAAATGGTCTACATTTAATTTTAAAGAAACAGAAACTAGGTTTATCCTTAATTGTGACATTTAATGTAGAGACAATAGTATTTATCCAGTTTATTTAACAAAATAAAATTAGTTGAAATTAAAATGTAATGATAAAAATGAAGTAAAGATAATGTTTTTAAAACATTTTAATGGAATTCATCTTAGTTTTGATTACTTCTTAGTTTGTTCTTATTTTTTAAAATGCATAAATTGTATCAGTAAATATTTTTAATTTCATGTTGTTTGAATTTTTCTTTTAGATGAGCTACATCTGTAGTTCATTTATTGTTAAAGATATCATGTTGCATATATTTTTGCTTTACTTGATGAAAAGTCCTAATTTATTTACTAAATACCTTCCACTTCAGAACTAGATGTGGGTATATCAGATACTATGTTATTCAGTGACATTTTAAGGTATACTAGTACATTGTTAAGATAAAAAATACTCTACTGTATTTTAATGATTTTTACATTCAGTATGTATTAAGAAAATAATCTGTTAAAATTGCATTATCGGAATGCTTTTCTCAGGTTTTATACAAATTTGATTTGATTCCCAAGAAGGATTTTCTTTCCAACAAGCTAATTTTCTTATGGATAATTAACACACCTATAAATTATTGCTAAACAACAAAGCTCAGCATATAGCAGGACATGCATGTATTAAAATAACATATAATATAGTTTTAATTATTGCAAGAGAATCTGTTAAAGGTGACATCTGGCACAAAAAATGATAAATCTAGAGAGAGAAATTGTATATCTAGAGGCACTAGTCAGAAAACTATGCTGTAGTGTCCAACAGATTGATATGCAAATCTTATATACAGCTGCCTGCCACTCCAGCAATGATTATTTTCCTTCACCAGCAGTTAAATGACAAAGATTAAACCTTTGCAAAGAGCAAGTCAGATTCTGTTTATGAATACTGTACTTGGCATGTCTTTTTTCATATCTTATATCAGATGTATGTGTTCTTTAATTACAAGGTATTGAAAATGTTGAGAAGCAGCTAATTATTTAGCTTTTTAATGTCCTGATTGAGTTTCTTTCTTCCTTTGTTTGTGTTGTTTTTCTAAATAAGTGGCTATCAGCTGATTTTTGAGGAAAATAGTCTTTTTATGTAATGAGAATTTTATTTAACATGATTTTAGGCATGTTTGAATAGCATCAGACATGCTTTGCTTTGGATCTGTTTCATGAAGTTTTTTACAATCCAAATTCTAATTTGAACTTTAGAGTAGGAAAATTAAATTTGTGTCTACTTCTGACAAATAGTATTTTACTACTTAGAAAAGTTGGTTTATGTTGAAGTGGTCTGTCATTATTCAAACTTCAGAAGTATGTATGCTTTTGTGCCTTGTCCATATCTCACATTACATTATTTAGTTCATTTTATTCATAATCTATTGTTTTTCAATCATTGTACAAATAATCCAAATCTCTTTTTGGATAGTATTAAAATTTTGTAAATGAAGGAAGATATGAGGATCTTAACTGACTCCTGAAGCTACATTTATCACTAAACCTTATTATTCTTATGAGTTTATAATCATTTTATACCACACAGTATTTCGTACTGGTGTCTATCCATTTCATCAAGAAGCATGTGGCATATGATAAGGCAATTAAAGCTTTGCTGTTCATTCTGCTGATAAGTGACGTAGCTAGCAATTGTTTCTAGACTGTAGCAGTGATTAACATTCAGCACCAGTATATCGACAAGTATCTGCACTGCGGCTGTCACATGAAAATAGGTTCCAGCACGGTAATCTCAAACCTGTCAGTAGTTGTGTAAGTAACCAATACAAGAGGATTACAGAAACACAACTAATGTCTGTTTTAATACAGTTCTTCAGTTACAAAGACTCTTAACCAAAAGTAACTGTAAAGATATTTTTTACAAACCATTGAATGAAGATAACATTACAGAGCTCTTTTAAGTGGACACAACAAGTCAGAAAATTTAGAGTGAGGTTTAACCTGCATTCACAATACACCCTGTTGTGCCTGTATTACATCTTGTGAGATTTAAGATCCTCTACTTTATTAATGATCTTTTATAATAAGATAGTACCTTGCATTCTGTTAACAATCTTGAGTAAGGATTCTGGGGAAGAAAGGTCCTGAGTACTGAGTACAGCCTGTATTGGTTGAGGGGAGGGGCAGAGGTGGCACGGGTGCTAAGGCGCATGGCTGACAACCCACTCACAGCGTGGCAATGTCAGATTCCAATGAATCTGTGAATTCTACTAATACCTTCTTGCAAGAACATGAAACAGGAAACTTGAGGAGAATTTAAGCTGGTTAGAGGGCTGCTGGGGGTCCTGCCAGTAGACTACCTCAAATAGATTGGAAATGATTTCATCTCCTGATGCTATGGTTTTTTCTGTTGTGTGAACCATGCCAGCTAGAACTGTGCTCCTTGTATTGTCTGCGTTGAGAGTGACTTTTGAACCCCATCCCCAGGCACACTTTCTTCCATTAAGTCAAGAGTTTGGGTTCTGCTGATTGAACCCATCAAAAATGTGCCTTTATTGTCTCCACTTTTTAATGTTTTGGTTTTTATCAGTGTAAATTAAACCATAATTAATTTTGATTATCATTGGCACATTTCTGGAATCATTGTTTTTTTTTCTTTTTTTTGCAAACCCAAAACTCAGAATTATAAAGATATTTTTATTCACGTTATAGTAGTGACTCTGTCAATCAGCAGTAAGTAGTTAGGGATTCTCTGAAATGGATTTTGCACATTGAAACAGTTCAACTCCTTCAAAACTGTGACTATGTTGTGTTAATTGAATTGCCATGCCAACAAAGACCTAAAAAATTTAAGAGATTTTTGTTCCAGGAAGCTATACATCTGCAATCACTATTGTTAAAAATGTATTGTTTATAATTTTCTCACCAGAATGCCCCTGAGCACTTGTCCACATTAAAAACTAATGAACTGCAAACTTTTACTACAGGGAAAAGAGCCAAAGACTCTTTAGAATTAGAGGCGATTAAAAATTGCATATAACTTCTTTTTCTATTATCCAATTTTCCTTTATTTTTAGCCTGGAAACTTAAATGTTGCTCCATCATGAACTTTGTCAGTCATGTTTATATCATAAACACTGGCAGGCATGTAACATCATATTAATATGGTGGATACTCCTGAAATTGGAGGAGTGTATCTTTGTTGTTTACAGGGGAAAAAAGAATTCAACTTAACTTTTCTTTAGTATCCTTCAAGTTAGGAGTTCTTATTTCTCTATAGATCTCTAAAAGATACATTTTAATACTTGTATTAAAAATTGATTGTAGAGTAACTAATATTTCTATAATGAAACAGGATACAGGTTATAGGATTGTTTATAGGATCATGTTTAGTCTATGTCTGTTTTGCAATGATTACTTTATATATTGGGAAAAATATTTAAAAAAAACCAATCGGTCTTGGCCAGTGGCTCTCAACCAAGGCATCATAGCACCCTGGGGTTCCTTGAGATTCTTTGAAGGGTTCCATGGGAACCACACAGTGTTGGCACTGTTAGTTTTACAAGCATGATTAACAAGGTAAAACCAGAGATTTCAAATAGAAATCCGTAACTGTGGAATTTCTGAATTACTTGCAACAGAAACATTGCTCTATTTTATTTCTGTAGGAAAAAAGGAATGAGAACAAAAAGCTGGCATTTTCCAAGGGGTACCTCAAATCTATCCAGGGATGCCTCAAGTCTAAAAAGGTTGAGAACCACTGGCGTATGTCCATTTTCCCCTATTCAGATGCATCCTATAGATGAATGTTCTTAAATAGCATTGTAGGGGAAAGATTCTGCACCACATATGTGTGTTCCTCCAAGATGTTTCATTTCTTCCTGGTATTTTCTTGCTTCCTAAGTATGATAATCATTACTAGTGGCATAGCAAAACTCCTACCCCAGCAGAATAAAGTCTTTGTGCAATCTGCCTTTCCCTTACCATAGGGCAGTTATCAGGATGTAATGCACATCTTCCATTATACACCAAAACATAACATGTAGGAAGACGAAATGTGAGTGTCTAACTTACTCATATGACTGTGACTAGGTGCAGAGTTTGGATCTTGATCTATCCTTTATGATTATATATATATATATATATTAGCTCTCTTCTCTTTGTGCCCTATTAATTTTTGTGTAGAAATTACACTAATTTTATCACTGGTGAGTTATAAGTCTGTTCTCAAATCCATCTAGTTCACTCTATCTATGTGTTATAGTAAAACATACGAAAGTAGGGCTGGAAGAGTCCCCATGAGGTCATTTAATCAAACCCCCAACTCAAGGCAGGATAATCCCTGATTTAACTATCCCACCAAGTGTCTTTCTAACCTGCTTCAAATTTTTGGGATGGAGAGTCCACAATATCTTGAGGTAGCTTTCATGCCTGACCACCCTATAATCAGTAAATTCTTCGTAATCTCCAGTTTAACTTTAACTGCAGTTTGAGGCCATTGTTCCTAGTCCTGTCCCCTATAGCTATCTCCACCCTCTTTGTAATCACTCTTTGGCTATTTGAAGGCTGCTATCAAATTCTGTCTGTCTTCTGTTCTGCAGACTAAACCCTTTA